CTAGACATAGGTGGACAAACCCCCCTACCCCACCCCCCCATAAGCATCAAGCATATCTATGGGGCTGATGGATAGGTCACCAGCACCTTGGAAATGCATGGCACTGTGAAAATTCGAGGGCGCCCCTGACAAAGCCAGATGACACGCCAGTGTTCCATGGCACCCTGGTTGAGAAAGGCCGGTCTAGAGAGACAAATGTAGAATTGCGCTCTCACCTGTCCAGCGTTGTGGGATAGCGGTGGTGAGAAGGGGGGCACACTATCCAACAATGCAGCAACCCCGGCACAGATTTGTATGGGACCAAGTCACTGGGTCCCCTAGGGAGGTTTAACAAGCTTCTTCTTGGCCAATTAATTTTTTTGATTGGATAGAAAAAAATATTGAATACCATCCTTAATTGAAAATAAAACGCACAAATGCCGTGTTACAAACAAAGTTTACTTCAGAATAAAACTTCATGCACAATCGCACTGCACTGGAACGCACGGCATTGTGGTACCATGCATTCCAGAGCGGGCGATCACACTGTGGGTGAGTGGCGTGTTTGGAGTGCCATTGAAAAGAACAGCACTGCAACACACCTCCTGCAGCAGAATTTGTCAGGCCGAAACCGAAACAAATTTTTTTCCCACCTTTTTATGATTAAAAAAAAAATAAATGTATTGTAAGCACACAGCGCTGGACGAGCTTCAGCCCGGGAATGACAGCTGCCACTGGCAAGATTCCGCAGACGGCAGCTGAATGTAAGTACAGCAGGTAGTGGGCTGGTGCAGTAGCCAGCCTGCTATTGGCCATTTCAAATTGCAATAGCCAGTAGCAGGCTGGCTATTGAACCCGCCCACTGCTTGCTGTGTCCTCCTCCCAGCGTGGAAGCGAGAGCTAGGGGATCCAACCAACTAACCGATAATGAGAATAGTTGACAACTATTCTCATTATTGATTAATTGGTTGCAGCCCTGCTTTTTATGGATGCAGTACCGCTTGTGAATGTTGTCACCCTAGGGCAGGAAATAGGATCCCTTGGTAAAAAAAGAAAACTAATGCAGCCACCACACCTGGTACTTTGCAAAATAATGAATCCTTGCCTACAGCTTAAATTGGGTGAATTATTGGACAGATTGTTAAGTTGTCAGTGTCCAGAGCTATGTCGGCCCTTCCAGTGTCCTGAGGAATAACGATGCGCTCTTCTTTCCTCAGTGCCCAGAGCCCTGGTTGAACTTCATTTGAAATTAATGCGGAAGATCGGGAAGTCGGTCACGTTTGACAGATGGGAGAAATACCTAATCAAGGTACCGTGCAAGTCTGCGACCATTTACTGCAATCTTCTAGTAATGTATTTATCGTTTTATAGGTTATAGATTAATAAAAAGATTTTCTCTCCATGAACTCTTTCACTGCCTTGTGGCACTGGCTGCGGGCGCCATCAGGGCTCTGTTTACCTGTGTAAAGCTGACTGTCACACTGAAAGCGATTTGTGGCGGCTGAAAAGCCACCAGATTGCTTCCAGGGCCCAGTAATTGTAGCCCCCAACACCCACCACCTTGCTTCCTGGGCTTCCCTGCCCCTCCTGAGGGCCCGGGACTGGCATTGCAGGTGTTGGCGAATAGCAGGAAGAGAGACCAGCGAGCGTCCCTTCGCTGATCACCCTGCTGATTGAAGTTGTAAGCCGCGCTGATTGCATTGCTTCCGGCTTCTCAGCTGTCATTGGCCGGGTAGAGAAGTCAGGGAAGAAGCCGAGCAATCGCGATCATGATCAGCTTCTTTGAAGTGCAAAGGTGACGTTATGGTTCTGCGCGTCATCGTAGTAAGAGGCGTATTGTATGAGTTTCTGATAATTTGTTTTTTATAATTGCAGATATGTCAGGATTTTAACAGTACGTGGGCCTGGGACATGGAGCAGAAAGGCTACCTGGAGGCCAGCGTGGAGTGTAAAGTGGGCCTGCTGAAGGTAAGGTTTGCAGCCAGAAGCAATTTGGGAAAACTGCTGCTAAATCGAAATGCATACATGGAAGCAGTTTAACCAGCTAAAGGATTCTGTTCAGTCAGTCTTGTGACTAAGATACTCCTTCCAGATGGTACAGCCAGCCAACTCAACTTCTAGTGTAGATAATGGGAATAAACGGTGTTTGTGATCTTTACAGTGTTTTATTACACTCACACACTGTGGAGAGTCGGTACTAACACACTGTAACAGTTGCTAGTACAGGGGTAGGTGACCTCAACACTTCAGTTTTGGTTAAACTATGAATCCAATCATGCGTGTGGCTGTCACTCTTGCAATGCCTCATGGGACCTGTAGTTCTACAACAGCTGGAGTGCCGAGGTTGCTTACCCCTGTGCTTGTACCATGTTAATCCAGAACATGCTCAGCGCACATAGAGGAGTTGCAGGGAGAATATGTACAAAAGTTCAGCTTTCATGGTGATCAGACATTTTGGTGGGGCACAGCCCACCTTTCGCAGGGCAACCAGCATACAGAGTAGGGCTGCAGCTAACGATTATTCTATTCTCATAATCGATTAGTTGGTTGCGGCCCTAATACAGACACAGTAAAACCTAAAGAATAAGTGCACCCTCTGCCCCCCCTCCGCTGACCTCACAGAGCCAGCCCCCATCCCCTATCCATTCCTCCTCCTGAGGATCCATAATTACCAAGATTCGGGACCCGGGGACTCCAGTCTGTGTTTCCATCCTCTCGCTCGTGGCCTGCACAGTAAAGGCCTCTGTTTCTCTGCCGGAGTCCTCAGGAAAGACACAGTGCTTGGGCATGGGAGATCATTTGACTTCCTCCCCGAATGCAATCACACCTGAGCAACCAATTACCAGACCAAGCAAGCACTCTCATGTGAGGTAAGGGAGGAAGTCCGTAACCCTGTTTAAGCTCCAAAAAAGGGTTTGGACTCCTGAAGGAGGAGCAGTGCTGTCTATTCTTTCTGTCTGGTGTTTTGTTTTACCAATAGAAAGAAAGTACAAGTGGTATATGGTTGTCACAGCCATGGGTATTCCCCATGTAACTGGTCTTTTTTTAGGATGTTGCTGGGGAGTCGAATCATCCAGTCGGTAAAGAAAAACAAACGAGCATGATTTCTTTTTTTTTGTTTCTTGCAGCACTTGTGTGAGTGCCAATTCGACGACAATCTAAAGTTTAAGAACGCCATTAACGAAGAGGATGCTGATCTGATGCGCATCCAGCCAATCGGGAAAGATAAGGACGGCTTAATGTATTGGTACCAACTGGATCAGGAGCACAATGTCCGCATATACATAGAGGAACAGGATGACCAGGACGGGTCTACGTGGAAATGCATTGTCAGGTTGGCTTTGTCCGGGGCTCCTCTATTGTACTAGTGTGCATATCCAGTCATGAATGTAGTTTGTAAGTGTAATGAATAAATGTCCAAATTGCGGTAACCAATAGTGGCCAATTGGAAATGATTTAAAATTTAAACTCTATACTGATTTCATTTATCTCGAATCCTATAGCTGTTATTTGTTACGCTTTTGTATGTTCTGATTGCTCTTCCATTCTGAATAAGCTTGCAGATTGCTTTCTTTAAAGGAGAACTATGAGGGGAGTGAAAATCACTCAGCCTCGTAGTTCGATCCGATGTGTGACAATGAGACTGTCCCACGTCGGCTCAATAGTTCCGCTCGGGACGGGGGAGGGGGCGGGTACAGCTGGCTCTGCCTCTAGATAGGCAGATCCAGCTGTCAATTACGCAGCTGGGTGGATCTCGACAGGAATGTCGGGATCCGCCGCGGCTGCGGCGGTCTCAGTATACCGTGAGCTGTAGCTCGCGGTATACTGAGCTTTGGTAACGGGAGGACGCTAGTTTGTGTCCTCCTGTGACCCTTAAGAGAACTATGGGGGAAAACACTGATCACACTACAGGCCTTGAGCGGTTTGATGGCCTAACAATTTTGAATAGGTTGTCCTAATTATCGAGTGGTAGCCCCAATTTCACATTTAGTGTACTATCCAGCATTCCTACTAAAAGTGCCCCTGTAGCCTCATAACTGTTTTGTCTGCAGTGTGAGATCCCAGGCACTGCTGCCTCTAACGAATAGTCTCAGGAGAATAAAAGCCAATAGCGCCAGACATGACCACTCCACTGAAGAAATGTACATGCAGAAGTTCTACAGGTCGCAGCCCCACATCAGTCAGGGAAACTGTGATATCTAGTGAAAAAACAAGGGGCGCCTTAACTACTGTAGATGCATTTTTAGTAAGCAAATGGCAAAAGTAGAAAAATACTCACAAAATAGTAGATAACAATGAGCCTTCAACATCAAAGGTTGATCCTCAGTCTTAACAAAAAGCAAGACACAGCATGTAAGAGCTGCACAGAACAGCATGCCTAGGTTGACGCATTTCCGGGGCCACGCCTAGGTTCTGAGGAGGGGGCGTGGCCCCGGAAACGTGTCAACCTAGGCATACTGTGCTGTCACAGGAACCATCATCTGTGCAGCTCTCACATGCCGTTTCTTGCTTTTTGTTAAGACTGGTTTCAGGAGGTTTGGAATGATTTGATGATGACACTACTGTGCTGCTCACTATTCTCCTTGCTGGAGTGGAAGCTGTACCCGAGGAACAGTAGTGCAAGCATCTCCCTGCTTTTGCTTTATTCTGTGGTTGTGTACTTTCTGAACCTCCCCTGTTGCCAAATTATTCCTATATCAGTTATGACATCACCAATCATCGGAGGAGGGAAAGCAAAGCCTGGCCATCTCAACACAGCAACACCATGTAGAACAAGGCATAGCAAGTTAATAATGGGGCAATGTTTAGCTGCAGGGACCCTAGAAGCCAGGGGTAGGCAACCTCAGCACTCCAGCTGAGCCGAAGTTACAAATACCATCGTGCCTCTACCTCTGGGAGTTGGTGTGCAATGCCTCATGGAACTTATAGTTCCACAACAGCTGGAGTGCCTACCTCTGCTTTACAGGAGAACTATGAGGGGCGTGCTTTTCACTCACCTCATAGTTCTAGCCGACCTGTGACAATGAGACTGTCACAGGTCGGCTCAGTAGATCGGGAGGTGAGCGAACACATACCGGCGTTCACTCACCTCTCGATTCTGTCACGGCTCTTTGCCGTGACAGGGGAGGGACTGGATTCCACGCTCCGATCCTCCAGCGCTGACTGGCGGAACGGACGGGGGAGGGGGCGGGTACAGCTGGCTCTGCTTCTAGATAGGCAGAGCCAGCTTTCACTCGTGCAGCTGGGCGGATCCCGGCACAATTGTCGGAATCCACTTCAGCTGCGGTGTCTCAGTATACCGTGAGCTACAGCTCGCGGTATACTGAGCTTAGGGTGACGGGAGGACGCTAGTTTGTGTCCTCCCGTTACCCTAAGGAGAACTATGGTGAAAAGACTTAACCCCCATAGTTCTCCTTTTAAGCTATACAGGCGATGGGCCCCTTTGTCCTCGCCTTGTCTTTTTTGGGCAAGTTGTGCATTAAAGTCTGGAAATTAACACCAGACACCTATTTATGTTACAGATTTCCTTATGGTCATTGTTTCCTTTTAGGGAACCAAACGCGTAATCCTTGCTTCCCTAAGGCTTCGTTCACACCGGCATTCCTGTGTCTTCTAAACAACGTAGTTATCTGGAAGCGTAATGAACTTTTATGCTTCTCTGATCACCTTTTCTTGCGTTTAGATCAGAGGTGAGCAGCCTTGGCACTCCAGCTCTTGTGGAATTACAAGTCCCATGATGCACTGCCAGACAGAGTGCCGCAGACGTTACTTACAAAGGCGGAGGGCTGGAGGGTGCCTACCCCTGGTTTAGATGTTCCTGCTTTAAAGTGGGTTTGGACCCATTTACATGTGTTTAGCCGCAGTGTTTGGATTCTAGATGCACCGGGCTTCTTTTTTTTCTGACTGCAGCTGAACGCATCTAATCGCAATGAGTGAATGAATCCTTTAGGTGTGTGTGTGTATGTATGTATTTGTATGTATGTATTTTTGTGTGTGTGTGTGTGTATGTATATATGTATGTATGTGTGTGTGATTTATATATATATATA